AGCGATGGCAGGTAGCCATGGAGCAAGGATAAAGAAACAATAAAATTCTTTTTGTCAGTTTGACAGGCAGCGATGGCAGATCACCATCTGATGGGGCATTAGCGGGCAAAACATCAGAGCTGTGACTGGCACAAAGGACCCTGAATGCAAACAGCAGGATGACCAGTCAGGAGGCACATGGGTTACAGCCAGCAGTGATGACAGGGTATAAAACACAAGAGGATAATGAAAGAAACCCGGAACACAATGTACCAGAACAACTGATGCAGATGAACACACAAGAGAAAGGAATGACATGGAAGGAAGAAGCATTGAGGGGATGTGAACAGCAGGCCATGGAATGCTGTATATACACTGGAGGAGGTAGGAATCTTGGTGGGGTGAGCTTCTGGTGCATGAGGATGGCACTTGTGCCTGAATCATAGAATCACAGAATAATTTTGGTTGGAAGGGACCTTCAAAGCTCATCCAGTCCAACCCCCCTGCAATGAGCAGGGACATCTGCAACTGGATCAGGTTTCCCAGAACCACATCCAGCCTGGCCTTGAATGTCATCCACCAGCTCTCTGTGCAACCTATTTCAGTGTTTCACCACCCTCATTGAAGACAAACATGAGACCGAGGAGAATGGCCAGAGGCACAGGCTGTCACTTGGTGCACCTAGCTGAACACGAACACCTGGCAAAGGCCAGCTCCTGCAGACAGCAAGCATCCAGCCACTGTAAGATGAAAAATCTGAAGCTGTTAATGTGCTCCACAGCGGTTTTGCTTTTCAGAAAAAGTCAGTTTTTTCACTTAGACAGTGATGGGCAGCTCAGTAGAGCCCCATGCTGAGCAATGGAGCCGGAACATGCACTCCCCTTGTTGCATGAGGGAGGCCCATGCACAGCAGGGAGGGCTCCCAGGCACAGGGTCTCGCAGTGGTGCTTGAGGGCAAGAGCCCAAACCCTGGCTGGTGTCTCAGAGGGGAGAAGCCTGGACCTGCCAGAGAACTTACCAGAACAGGGCCTCCCTGGTGGGCTCCTGGGACTGCCCTTGCTCTGCTCTCGTAAGACCCTACTTGGAGCACTGTGTGCAGTTCTGGTGTCCCCAGCGTAACAAGGACATGGAGCTGTTGGAGCAAGCCCAGAGGAGGCCACAAGGATGGTCAGGGACTGGAGCACCTCCTGTATGGAGACAGTCTGAGAACACTGGGGCTGCTCAGCCTGGAGAAGAGAAGCTGTGTGGAGACCTCAGAGCAGCTTCCAGTGTCTGAAGGGGGCTACAAGGATGCTGGAGAGGGACTCTTCATCAGGGACTGTAGTGATAGGACAGGGGGTGATGGGTTCAAACTGAAACAGGGGAAGTTCAGGTTAGATATAAGGCAGAAGTTCTTTACTGTGAGGGTGGTGAGACACTGGCACAGAGTGCCCAGAGAAGACAGGCATAGTGTTCAAGGCCAGGTTTGGCAGGGCTCGGAGCAACCTGATCTAGTGGGAGGGTTGGAACTGTATGAGCTTTAATGTCCCTTCCAACACAAATCCTTCTGTGATTCTATGACGGGGGAGGGCTCGCTCATGGCCCCGCGGCCCCGAGTCCAGCGAAGGCCGCTCCGCTAGCTCAGGACGCCCACCTTCGGTCGCGGACCTCGCCCGCAGCCGGCCCCACCACAGCACTGCAGCGCCCCCTGCCGGCGCATGCTGGGCAGGGCTTCGGCTGGCTGCAGGTGGCCCCTGCCCGAGCGCTGCAAGACGGGAGCCCCAAGCGCGGCCTCCGGCTCTGGGGGAGTGCGGGAATGAAGGGGTTCACCCCCTCCACGCATGGAGCAGAGCCCCTCCACACCCCCCTGCATGGACCGGATTGGTCCCCATATTCCCCCTCTTCCGCGTGGAGCATATCCCCGCGCGCACTGTCCGGAGCGGATGCCCTCTTCCCTCCCTTCCACAGGGCCAACACGCCTTTGCAGCACACACGCAGGCGGTGTGGGGTGCTCATCCCCAGCCGTTCCTTCCACTCGTGGCAGAGCCCTACACACATGGGCTGTCTGGAGGAGACAGTCTTTTCATGGACGGCAAAGGCGGAAGAACCGGGCAGTTCAAGTCGCAGCTATTGTGGTGAGATCTGTTCTGTAGTTTCCTGATTTAACTCTTCGCTTCTCTCAGGCATGAAAGTTGAAATTGCGGAGAACAGCTGAGGAGTGTGTTCCCATTGCCCTGGGAATCCTTCTCCCTGCAAGGACATACCTTGGACTTTGGGAACCACTGCCGTACCTGCTACATCCAGTCAGAAACATCAAGATAAATTGATGCATCACGTAGGTTTCTTTTTATTTTCTACACCTTCTGTTTAGGATTGGTTAAATATGACCAGGCCAATGGTTATTATTATTATGTATAACTATTATGTTATAACATAATAGCTATATTATAACTATTCATGGAACTAGCATGTAGTGAATTACATGAAGCAAATAATGAATATCTCTTGTTACATGCACAGAAGTCAGCACAGAGCTTGCTGCAGCTCTGGTCAGGGACATCATTTCTCTGATTTCTAAAAGAAAAAAAGAAAAAGGAAGATAATGTAGAGATTATTTGAGCAAGGGGATCATTGGTGGGGTTGCATCAGTTGCATCATAGCTTGTGGCCATTGCAAACGTTCTGCTGTATTACAGGCAAAGAACCAGTATCTCTTAATTGTGCTGAAAAGACCTGGACTCTTAGAGTTGATCATCTGTGGTCAGTCTTTCGGAAGGCTCCAAAAGGACTGTCAAACCACACTGGTTTTGAATAAGAGCCCATTTCTGGCTTTCTTTTAAGAGGAAACTAGTGCAAGAGTGGAAGAAGTAGAGCTGTGCCTGGAGGTGTTTGGTCAGAGATCTTTGCGGCCTTCCTCTGCAGCCCTCCAACTCACCTGTCCTTCACGATTTTTGGCTCGTAACTTGTTAACCTGACATTCAGCAATATCAGCTCGTTCTTCAGCCCCTTCCAGCTCGTGCTGGGTCTTGCGGTACCGTGAGAGAACAGCATTTGCCTGTTCTTCCTGGAAGTCATGCAGTGCCATCAGTGACATGGACACAAAGTGACATTGCTCTGTTATCATTAACTGAACACCTTGTGGCTGCACCCCAATAGCAACCCCTACCTCAAAGGTACATCCCTGCCCTGCCAGCACTCCATGCATTTCTATCTAGTGCTGTCAACATCATGAGCACTCAGCTGGGGTCAGAACAATTAGTCCCGATCAGTTCCAGATGGGAAAGTTGGCTAGTGTGGCTCCAAAAGTGCAACAGCTCCAGGGTAATTACAGCTGTGTCTGCTCAGTTGTGAGCCGTAAGTTTTTATGAGGTGAGGAATATCCAAAGGCAGTGACCATTGCTGCCCTGTCAACTGAGTAGTCAATTACTTGAATTGGGAGCCCAGGCCTTTTGGAAATCTCCACCCAGAGCCCACAAAGATTTAAGAAGAGTCTGGCACTCACAGCTTCCTCAGCCTGTTTCTTGTATGCTTTCACTTTTAACTGCAGCTTGTCCACCAGGTCCTGGAGCCGGAGAATATTTTTCTTATCCTCCTCAGACTGTGGGAAGTGAAAATCATGTTGGCTTCGAAAGACAACAGAAGTGATGCACGTAAGGGGGCAGAGGATTTGAATTACCTGATAAGTGAGCTCTTTCAGCCTTCGTTCATATTTGCGAGCACCTTTCAGGGACTCAGTTCCTCGTTTCTTCTCAGCATCAAGCTCGTTTTCTAACTCACTGACCTGAAACACAGTACCATGGTGAAGACAGCAAGCTGCCAGAAATGGTTGCTGAGCCTGCTGTAGGAACCTGGGAAGCAAGATTCTGTGGACTAAGTCTGTAGAGAAAGTGCCAATGCAGGGCAATTTCCTGGAGCTGCTCCTTAGGGCTATACTAGCTAAAAGCTGCTCACCATTCCATATTAGTAGTGACATAATGTGTGAATCCATAGTTATTTATAGAAGGAACTTTGCTGTGCATACCTGGGACATTTATAATCAAAGTTGGGCTTGAATCTGCCAGAAAAGAGGAAACTGAAACAGGAAAGTATCAATGTTCACCAGGTAAATGGGGAAAATCTATTTAATTTTAATCTTTTCAGTCCAGCTTATCCTCATGAATAGTCGTTAACAAGCTCCCACAGCTTTGTGCCTCTTCTGTAGTGTATATGAGTCAAACTTGGACATCAAAGTTTCTACTTCTGTGTGGATACTTCCTTTCAAAGCCAAGAGCGCCTAATTCCCAGTCAGTTGTGCTATATTTTGGAGCAGTTAGGAAGCGCAACAGGCAGGTCAGGCAAATGGTCTATCTAGCCAAATGCTCTGCCTCTGGGAGCGGCAGCAGGGGGACTATCGAGGGAGAGCCTGGAAACCTGGCTGCTATCTACTCCCCTCATGCTTCCACAGTTGTTAGATTGGTAGTGTAAGGTGGCTTATCTATGCCTGTTCCCTTAAGTATGTCTATAAACCTGCTGATTCCTAATCCCGTTTTGAACCTTCTACCCACTCTCTCTACAGCCTCCCATGCACCAGGTTCCAGAATTTTGCTGCCCACTCTGTAAAGTACTTCCTTTTATTTATTTTAAACTGATTTCCAGGTGAAGATGTCCTGATCTGCATCATGCACTTCTCATATGCACTTCTCATATTGTGCGTTTTGGTGAAAACCATTCAGAATACATCTTGGTCCCTGCTGACAGGATTCTGTAAACTCTCATAGCATCCCCCTCAGCCACCTCTTCTCCAAACAGAAGAGTTCTAGCCTTGTTTGTCTCTTGTCGTAAGGCTCAACCCACTCAGGTGCCATTCCCTGGATGCTTCTCTGTCAGGTCCTTGAGTTGCAGAGAACAGGACTGCACATCATGTATTTAATACATAAGTATTAAATATAAATAAAATATAAATATAAATAGTGATGCTCTCTGTCTTGTTCTCTGCCTTTTCTATTGAAGCCAATTTTATTTTCTCTTTCCTGGTTTTGTTTCCCCTGCACATTGAACAAAAAGTTTGAGGCTTGTCAAGGATAAGACTGAGATTTCCTGGCTGAGCTGCAATTGCCAGATCCAAGTTCATCCACAGGTTAAGTATGTTTTAAGTTATTTTTCCCTATATGTCTAACCTGATGTTCATCTGCCATATTTGCCCACTCAGTTTTTATGAAGTCCTTCTTCAGTTCCTCTCCCACTGTGCAGTGTTTGACTACTCAAAGTAACTCTCATCAAATCTGCCTGGAGGTACCTGGGGTTGTCCCTATTGTAACCTTTCTAAGAAGTTCCAACAACCAAGGGCCCACTAGTCTACCCTAGTCTTCACCATACCCTCGCCTCTAGTTTCTGGAGTTGCTTCTTTCCACCCTTTAGTGCCAACTGCTCAGCCTCATCCAGACGGAGCTGGAGGTCCTTCACCGTCTGGTCCAGGTTCTTCTTCATCCTCTCCAGGTGGGCACTTGTGTCCTGCTCTTTCTTCAGCTCTTCTGCCATCATGGCTGCCTGATGAGAGCAAAGGGTCAAAGCCATTTTGGTGCTAGAGACAGGGAGAATATATCCAGTACCAACAATGAAAGGAGCCCCCAACTCACATCTGTGATGGCCTTCTTGGCCTTCTCTTCAGCATTGCGGGCTTCCTGGGTAGTATCCTCCATCTCACCCTGAATTTGGGCAATGTCTGTTTCCAGCTTCTTCTTGATGTTGATCAAACTGGTGTTCTGTTGAAGAGTATCAACATGACCATTTTCTTTTTGTTACCTTGTGATATTATATCAAGAATATTGCATAAATATTGTTTTTTATTATAAATGGCACCATCAGGTCACATGGGATTCTGTTCTAAAGGATCTGCTGTGGAAGCTGTTTCTCAGCCATGATATCCTTCAGTATTTCAAGAACATCCTCCATAAAGCCTTTCCTCACAATTTTTCGGTCAACAGAGAAGAAATTTAGACTTACAAAGATAAAAGTTGTAATATTTCCTTACAGTTTTCAATCTTGTGACAGTAAAAATTTTAAATGGTGATACACAATGCTTATAATGACATTGTTAAATGATGTCAGTAACTGTATTAGTGTATTCCTGTTTTGTTAACCATCAACCTAACTTTGACATTACAGTCTCAAATGCAGACCTGAAACCTGTAAATTGAGTTGTAGGGTAAGAGCCTCACATATCTCTCTAAAATTTATCACATTTAAGGTATCTGCACTGTAGTCTAGTGAAATTCATATCTGCAACTGAAAAATCACAATATTTGTTATCCACAGTGTGAAAATTACAGTGTATTTTGCAAATCTTATAGTTCAGTCAGTCTTCAGTTATTTTATCTGTATGGAGAAAGGGTATAAATACTAAATATATTTCTACACTGACCTGGGTATGGAGGAGTTGAACTCTCTCACTTGCATCCATCAGTTCCTGCTCAGCCACCTTTCTTGTCCGCTCCGTCTGTGCCAGAGCTGCCCGTAGCTCCTCAATTTCAGCCTGCAACAGGTTTGCTCTGCGCTCCACCATGGCCACCTGCTCCTTCAAGTCCTCCTGTGTCCTCAGAGCATCATCCAATTGAATCTGGGTATCCTGGAAAGAAAGACAAGAAAGACTATGACATATATTTCCCTATTTTCCCTTTTCCTATTTTCACATGGTTATAGATCTGATAGAATTGTACAACAGGGAAATACTTATTTATTAACCAGTGAGAACCTGTTTCATTGTGCCATACCTTGAGCACTCCCTGTGTGTTTCTTAGGTTCTTCTGTGCCTCAGCAGCCTGGCGATTGGCATGGCTGAGCTGGATCTCCATTTCATTCAGGTCTCCCTCCATCTTCTTCTTGAGACGCAGGGCTTCATTCCTGCTCCTGATCTCAGCATCCAGAGTGCTCTGCATGGACTCCACAACTTTGAGGTGGTTTCTTTTCATCTGTTCGTTCTCCTCATCTTTCCCTGCTATCTTCCTGTCAATCTCAAAATTGACCTGGTTGAGCTCAAGTTGGAGGTGCAGGATCTTTCCCTCTTCATGTTCTAGGGAGGCCTGAAAAAAAAGAAGTTAATATTTGTTAACTGTATAAATACCACTGTCAGTCACTTTGCATGAAATCTTCTCTTGAAGAATAATGTATAGCATGAGGTCTGAGACTGCGGGAAAGATTGCTGTGTACGCAATGATTTAATGATATCCAAAATTCCCTCTTTCCTGTGCATGGTATATATGAAAAAAAATTATATTCTCTATGCATATAATTTCATAAATTGCATCTGAGGTTGCTAAACAGTGAGTTCTAAATGATAAGTGAACAATTAAGAACAGAAGGCTGTACCTCAGCTTCCTCCAGTGAGGCTTGGAGCTCAGATTTCTCCTGCTCAATCTGCTTCTTGACTTTCTCCAGCTCATGAACCGCTTTTCCTCCCTCGGCAATCTGCTCCGTGAGGTCAGAAATCTCCTCTGTGGGAACAAGGACCAATGCCATGGTCGGGCACAGAGCAGAATGGGAAGGGCCCTCACACACCACCGTGACAGGCATCTTTGCCCACCTGAAGGCACAGACCCATGTGGAGCGGTGGGTACTGGGGGGTACTGAGAAAGCCCTGCCAGGAGCAGAGGGCCAGGGACTTACGCTGCAAGTTCTTGTTCTCGCGCTTCAGCGTTTCCAGGTGGTCCAAGGACTCCTCATAGGCATTCTTCATCTTAAACAGCTCCATGCTGAGAGAGCGGGCCTCCTTCTGGGAGGCTTCCAGCTCAGCCTGTGTTTCCTCATACTTTTGCTTCCATTCTGCCAGGACCTGAAGAGAAATGGGGTGTCAGTATGGATGTGACAATCAGGAGGGGATGTTTTCCCCAGGAGCCCCCAGTCTGGAGCCCAAAAGACCTTGTCAAAGTTCTTCTGCTTCTTATCCAGAGCTACACATGCAGTATTTGATCTCTCCACGTCAATCATCAGGTCTTCCACTTCATTCTGCAGCCTCTGCTTTGTCTTTTCCAGGGAGGCACATTTGGCATTGACAGCTTCAACATGTTCCTCTGCATCCTGCAGGCTCTGTGCAAGCTTCTTCCTGGAAGGTGGTAAGTACAGGTCCAGGTGAGGAAGCAAATGGGAGCCAGTGTTGTGCAGCCAGTATGTTTTTCACAGGTGCACCCTATGCCATTTGGTTTTGTGTGATTCTCATTTACATAGAAGTAAGTAGAGTACTTGCACCCAATTGGTTGTGTGTGATCCCCATTTATACAGAGGTGAAGGACCGCTCCTAGCCACCCACTGTATTTCTGTGTCTGAATCCTGCGTTGCAGGAATTCATGCTCTACTGTTCACACTGTTACTCACATCAGCATGTCTCTGCTACTCTACATCTGAACAGCTTTGCTGATTCTGCCTTCCCCTGTGCATACCTGCTCTTAGTTATATTTTGTCTCTTCCTGCCAACCGCTCCTAAAGCAGAGCATTGACTTCTTCCTGACAATATCCCAGTGGTCTTGTCAGATTTCCATTCTCAGTCTCTGCCAGCCCTGTCCAACTTCCCCACGTACTTGGCCTCCTCCAGCTCCTCCATGCGCTGAATAGCATCTGTCTCATATTTGGTTCTCCACTGGGCCACTTCACTGTTGGCCTTGGACAGGGTGCGATGCAGCTCCCCCTTGGCTTCCTGCTCCTCCTCATATTGTTCCCGGAGCAAGTCACAGTCGTGGCGAGCAGCCTGCAAGGCGTGGGCCAGGGCGTTCTTGGCCTGTGGGGAAGAATTTTAGGATGGCAATGAATGGAAGTACCCTGGTAAATCTCCTGGCTAAAGTATTCATGGGTACTGGATTGTTCTACTGTGAGAATGATGGCAATCTACTGAAGGAGAAAGGAAGATCTGGGAATCTGCAGAAGAATTAATGACTAGGCTGTAGGGAAGGTAGAGCAAAGCTAATATGAGAACATCTGACTGCATTACCCAAGTGTTTTTTTTCTCCCTCCTGTTCATTCTGTAATTTCACATGTACCTGAAGCCCGTCCTGGACAGGAGAAATCCAATGGAAAAGACTGAGAAGCTTTCTCACCTTGATCTCTTCCTCTAGGTGCCTCTTGAGCTCCTCAATCTGTTGGGTGAAAGCCTGCTTGCCTCTTGACAGCTGAGAAATCTGAGCATCTTTCTCCTCCACCTGGCGTGAGTATTCCCCTGAGAGAGGTCAGATGAGTAAAGGAGCCTTTTAATGACTTACTGAAAAGTGTCAACCTTGATAATTAAATGCATATAAAAATATTTGGAGTTTAACAACATTTTATTTCTTCCATGGAATTCTAATCGCTTATACCTATCCATAGTTCTGAGAATGCTGAAGTATTTATCTTGGAGGCGAGAAATGAGATACATCATGCCCTTTTTCCAATATCTTACTAGTCTTAATGTATGTTTGCACTAAGTCCCATTTTCAGTTCAAGCCTCAAGCTTTCAGAATTAGTACTATGCTGTGTATGTGCTCAGGTATATCCCTGTCCTCTCCTGTATGTGTCCTGAAAGAAGAAGGATGAAGTCTAGGTTATGAAGGAGACGAATACTCTTTGAAACTCCAGCTATAGAATTATAGAACAGTCCCATTTGGAAGAGGCCTTTAATGGGAAAGAGCACCTAGATGGGGTTACGTGGCACCCTGTCCAGTCAGGTCTTGGAAACTTCCAGTGATCAGACTCTACCACACCACTGTGAAGGTGGTTTGAGGCACTGTTTTTTCCAGTCCATGTTACTGGTTCTGCTTCAGGATGTCTCTATCTGTCTAGTATGGGTAGCCTAGCATAGGACACAGCACCACATGTGGGCCTTCACCTGTGCTGAGCAGGGGGAAGGATCACCCCTTTTAACCTGATGGCAACACTTCTGCATCTTGAGATTCTGTTGGCTGCATTTGTCACAAGAGCACATTTCTGGTTAATGTTCAACTGTGGTTCCAGCAAGACTCCACGATTCTTCTGACCCTCTCTTTTTTAAAGCCTCATATAATGTAATTTGATGTCTTTTTTAAAGCCTCATTTTCTCTTAAACACTGTCCACAAATGTCTTACCAGATTCTGTCTGTAGCCGAGCTCTCTGAGCACTAATGTCATTAATTGTGCGCTGTTGTTCCTCCTCCTTTTTCTTAATCTCACTGAGCTGATCTTCTAGGGAGCGACACATCTTCTCCAGATTTGCCTGTTTTCATGAAAAACAGAATGAAAGATGATTGGTGGTTCAACACATAATGGGCTCGAACTGAAACAGGAGAAGTTTGGGTTAGATATAAGGCAGAAGTTCGTTACTGTGAGAGTGGTGAGGCATTGGAATGGGCTCAGTTCAAGTGATGAAGTGCAACTATTTATTTTTAAGCATGACTAATTTAAATTTCTAAGTTAAAATATAAATACTTGCTTATGTTTGAATCACCACATAGAAATATTCTTTTGTGGCAGAAATATCTAGAAGGTATTTGCGTACCTTAGCTTTGGAGACGGACTCCATGTTACTGGTCAGGTCGTCAATCTCCATCTTCAGCTCACTCTTCTCCTTCTCCAGCTTCTGCTTCACTCGCTGCAGGTTGTCAATCTGCTCCCCAAGCTCAGCGGTGCTGTCCGCGTGCTTCTTGCGCAGGGCAGCAGCCGTGGCTTCGTGCTGCAGCGTGGCCTCTTCGAGGTCACGACGCATCTTCTGGAACTCGGCCTCACGCTTCTTGTTCATCTCAATCTGAGCTGCTGTAGCCCCTCCTGCTTCTTCCAGGCGCTCGCTGATCTCCTCCAGCTCCCTCGAGAGGTCAGACCGATGCTTCTCTGCTTTTGCCCGAGAGGTTCGCTCTGCCTCAATTTCCTCCTCCAGTTCCTCTGTTCGAACCTGTGAAAGTTAATCGGTTATATGGTTCTGGATGGACAGACGTGAAATTACCATTAAGGAAGAAGGGGTGAACATTCACATCCACTTATATCCGCATAAAGAAAGAAGCACCACTAGAAATTTCACTGAATTATATTCTAGGACATGTAATATTTGGTTTTAGAGCAACAGTGAATGCAATATCTGGTATTTCATGTTATGTTACAGCTCAGAATGGATTCATTATGTTGAGAAAGATCTAGTATTGAGCTTTTCTGAAGAAATGTGGGATGTGTCACTGGAAAATGTAAAGGAAATCAAGTTTGTTAGAGATTTCCCAAAGGTCAAGCCAAAACAAAACAGTGTCTTCTCGCTATCAGCAAACAAGATGGAAGGAACCGTGAGATGACCAACCATGGGATAATAGCACTGAAAAGAATTTTCTTCCTGGCTCTGCATTTAGAATGTGAACTCTGTCCTGATCGTGACATTATGTCACATTCTATTTTTTTAATTATAAAAGTAATTCTCAGTGGCTTCACTACTGTTATAACTCATTATCTGATCCATTTTCAAAGCCTCCCACAAGCTTTACTTAAGACGTTTCTTATGTAGTTATGTATGATTAGAGGCCAGAGTTCCTGTAGAAGTGCCCCGAGATTGGAACAACATCCAGAGTCCATGTTCACTGCTTTATTCATGTGTAGGAAAATATTTTTGTAGAACAGTCTAAGAATAAACATCAATTAATTCTAAGGAAAATGTGCTTAGCTACCAAAAAATCAAGAACTCTCATACTCTACCTGAAGCTCCTTAATTTTCTTTTGCAGCTGAGAACTATGAGCCTGCTCATCTTTTATATTACCTTGCAACTGTCTGATTTCAAAATCCTTTCTGTTAAAGAACAAGAATGCAAATTCAATATGGTTAAGATGAAATATGAATTTTGGAATTCAGAGCAGCAAAAGCCAATGCTATACTTTTTTAGTCTGTCATCCATCTGTTGCTTATCATTTTCTAGATCCATGATGGAATCCTGAGACATTTTCAGATCTCCCTCTAGTTTCCTTTTTGCTCTCTCAAGGTCCAGTCGCAGTTTCTTCTCTTCTTCCAGAGAACTTTCAAGCTAAAATACATAAAACATACTGTGAAACACATAATTCTACTTTGAAAATAACTATTATTGATTAAAAATTGATGAATAGTGGAAACAGATCCTGTATAAACTTCTCAACTCCACCTGTGTTACACTCTCGCTTCAAGATTAAAGCTGCCATTGTGATTTGATTTTGGACATTAAGCTGTCCACAGCTTGGCTGTGCACAGTTGAAATGCAAGTTTCTGAAAAATACAGAAATTTAAATTTTCCAGTGGCTGCAGTCCCTAAAATGTAGACAAATTTCCAGTGTCCATAACTTCCTGGAGTATATCCACACTGCACAGTAAGGGACCACAAATAACTCTGCATCAAACTTCAGATTGCTACAGATGTAGTGTTCCAGCTAATTGATTCAAAGAGGCACAAAAGTCTACAATACTGAAATATCCAGTGATGAATGTAGTTTACATGTCCAGGGAAAGGTAGAAGATGTCCTGGATTCCACAATACCCTGTCAACTGGCAATGGTTTATTAGCTGGAAGTATTAGGGTTGGCTTGGCTGCTTTAGGTGTTACTTATACTCCCAACTACAGATTTCTAGACTCTTCTAATCTGTCAATACATCCACCTACACAACCCCAAAACTTTTCCTTACATCATCTACTTGTTGCTCCAGTTTGGTCTTGGTTTTGTTGAGTGCCGTGACTTTGTCTTCCTCAACTTGCAAGTCATCCAGTGTCTGATGGTGGGCTTCCTGGAGGGCCTTTTTCTCCTTAGTGAGTTTAGAAATATTTTCATCCAGAGCTGCCATTTCTTCAGTAAGATTCTTAACCTGTTAGACATCCATACTATGAGGGGGTGCCTTGAGACATGACAGACCAAGAGCACAGAGAGTACATCCTTGCAAAATCTTTCACGGATGTAGTCAAAATGCTCTCAACAGAAGGTCTCTTATCATTCATGGTGAGTGCAGCAACAAGTGTCATGCTTAACAGTCACACCTCTCTGGTCCTGCAGTTGTAGGAATTCTTGCTTTAGTTGTTTTTAACTACCAGCTCTATCCTGCTGAATTCTATAGTGGAACGTGCTAGATCTTCACCTGCCTCTGCAAGCTTTTCCCACTGGGATTTACAAAAGGCCTCTGAGTTGCTGTTGCTGAAAATATGTATTTTCTGCATGTGATGTATTTGCCAGATAAACAGCTGTAAATTCTCAGCAAGTGAAGTTCTTTATAAAGATATTATCATGTGCTAAGCATAACCAAAGATAAGAAATACATTAAGTTTTCCATAAAGGTGAAACAAACATGACAAAGATGTGACATGACAAAGAACCTTATGCCCTTGGAACAGGTGATAACAAATTCAGGGCAGGAGCTTCTAAACGAGCTGCTGGACATAGCAGCTCTGCTAGCTTTATCTTGGAAACTTATTCCTTATACATCAATGGAGCACTGCATACCAGCAACCTTATCCCAAACACATCAGGTGCTGTGCGTTAGCCTGCCTGACCCTTGCTTCCCATTTGTCTCATTTTGGTGGGAAAGCCTGACACTTGAAATAAGGAAAGTCCATTCTGCTAAGTGCTTTAGCTGTGTGGCCCTGATACCTGATTAAGACACTCCCTCATCCTAACATGCAGCACCAACTAGATTTCTTCTGAGCATTAGTTTACAAATATCCAGCATAACTGTAATTGCAAACTTAAGATCCAGTATTGTTCTCAGTGATGGCAGTGAAGGGAACCTCAGTGTTATAATTAGATCTCTTCTAGTATTGTTTCCACAGCAGTGGACACTCACCACAGATGTGGGCTTTTGAGTTCTAACATATATATCTCAATTCTGTCTCTTCATATTGGTTGTTGAGATACAAGTGAAGAGACCTGTGCTTTTACTGCTTGTTAAATAAATTAATGACAGCCTGATAGAGACCATCCTTGCTACACTGACAGTCTGAAACTTAGGAGTCAGGAAGAACTCTCATTGTATTGTCAAGTCAATGGAAAGGATGTCCATTCTAGCTGAGACGTAGTCTTCTTAAATATAAGAGAATTATAAGAAAACATCTGACATCTGCAAAATCAGTTCTTCTTAATGCATGTTAGAAAGGACCAACATAGCCATTCTGTGCTGGGCTACTCATAAGCATACTAATCCTCCATTTGTGTCTCACAAGAGACATAGGTATAGTGGTTCTTTATGACTGCAAATAGCCAAATATGGAAATTCTCTGTCAAGCACCATAACAAACTTTCAACTCTTTTTGAACTGTCAGAAAAGATGTATTTTTTCTAAGAGGAAGTTACAATTTTCACAGATTTCCT